TATTTGTTGATGATTTTATTAACAACTAATATATATTTATATAGACAATATCCAGATCATTAATCAAAGTACTCATGCTACCGCGCAACGTGCGGTTCCCATACTAGTCTATATTAAAGAAGAAACCAAGGATAATGAGGTGACACCTTCTAATGCTTAGAACCCCTCCTATCTTTTTTCTCATTTTTTTATTTTTTTAAATGTTGAATATGTTAAAGACTTTTTTGTCCCTGGATGAAAAATGTATGGCTCATAATTAACCCGGGTTATTTTTGTAATTTTGTATACCCAAGTTTAACCTCCAACTCTTGATTTGCTCTTCCATTTATTTTCTTTTATTTCTTAATGAAATTTGTTTTTTAAAGTTTCAATAATAAACAAAATGAAATCATATCCTTTGGTGAGGGATGAAGAAGATGAGAGTTGAAGAAGAATTCAAAGATTTTAAAAGGTATGTAGAAATTATATTCATTAAAAAATGTGATTTGTTATTAGATATTTCTTTTTCAATATTGTTGGATGTGTTGTTTGATTGTGTTTACGATTGGATCATATAAATGTGTTTATGATTTGATCATATAAATTCGAATAAGATTTTGATATTTTATAATTACTGGATATGATAAACTTTTTTCGAATTTAAGCTTCATTAACAATAACTATTTATACGTGATTGATAATTACGTTAAATTTTGACTATTTCAAGAATTTTTTCAATTAATAGAAATCCTTTGGTGAGTAATGAAGAAATAAAAGTTGAAGAAAACTTAAAAGCTTTAATAAGGTATGTAAAAATTATATTATTTACAAAATATGATTTGTTATTACATATTTTTTTCTTTTCAATATTGTTGGATTTGTTGTTATCCTAAGACATGATTGTGTTTACGATTGGATCATATAAATTCGAATAAAGTTTTGATATTTAATGATTACAAGATATTATAAAAACGAATTTAAACTCCGTTCACAATAATTGTTTATACGTGATTAATAATCATCAATATATATGTATATATATAAGAGAAACCAAATATAATAGGTGTATTTCTCTAAATATTAGAAACTTATCTTTCTCTTTTCCTAAATTTTTGATTTTTTTAAAATATTTGATATGTAAAAGACTTTTCTATCCCTATTTTAAAACATGAAATTCATTAAAATAGAGTTGTTTTGGTAATCTTAACAAGCTTAACCTCCAACTTTTTCCTCTTCATTCTTGGAGATGAAACTTTTAAACACTTTCATGTGCTCCTCCATGATTTGTCAATGTTTTTATAATATTAAATAAGTTATATTATTCTACCCTTAAATGATAAATATGTATTCCATTACAAGAAGACTTCTATGACCATTTTCAACTTAATTAGCTTTAACTTTCACATTACATAACTTCATAGGGATATTCACTATACTATTTTCATCTACTAACTAAAATAAACTTACAATAAATGTTGTGGCACATTGTCAATATGATTTTCTGAAGAAATTTTCTCATTGTTTTTAATTTATGAAATGTTAAATAAGTTAAGTACTTTTTTTACCCGTGAATGAAAAATGTGTATTTCATTATTTTCTCCAAARYGMAAACAAAATTTTCCAAGCCAGAGATGTCCTTAATTGAGCATTTGGCATCATTATTTTATATAAATCTAAAAGTAAAATATGAAGTTTCTTATGTGACACTTTGTGCAAAAGTTATTTCATAATTCATTTTTTTCAAATTTTTAGATTTAGTTTGGACTTATTTTGTTGGTTATATTAATTATCTTTCATTAAATCATAAATGTTCTAGACCTTTTATTTTCTATTATGTTTTTTATCTATCTATATATTTCATAATTCATTTTTTTTTTTAATTTTTAGATTTATTTTGTTGGTTATATTAATTATCTTTCATAACTCATAAATGTTCTAGACCTTTCGTTTTCTATTTTCTTTTTTTATCTCATCTATATATTATATCTTATTTAATTTTTAAAAAAGCAAATAAATACACTTACAAATACCACATGAATATCACATTTTATTTGTTTTCAAATAAATAAATACATAAACATCATTTTAAGTGTTTTTTACTCCATAAAATTAATGTAAGAATTGTTACATTTTATATTTATATTATTTAAACAAACACTTAATATATTTATTTGAAAACAAATAAAATATCATATTCATATGGTTTTTGTATGTGTAGACTTTGTATGAAAAATAGAAAATTTTAATTTTTTATATATTCGGTAAATCAATAAAAAAAGTGTCATGTTTAATATTTTTGAAGAGATTTATTTAATGATGGTTTAAAGTTTTAGTTATGGATTAAAATGATTGATTGTAACATATCAACAATTCGGAGGATGATAACATGAACAAAAAAATATGAAAGTCAATAAATTAATCATTATATTTATAATTATAATAAAAGAAAATGATATATACATGAACTGACATTGTAATATTTCAACATTAATTTGATTTTTTTTTATAAAAATTATCGTCATCGTAAAACGTACGGTGAACATAACTAGTTAGTATAAAAAAGTATTCCTATAAAACACTACGTGACATGAATGTGTTTTGGGGGTGATTTTTATTGCTTGAGATGAATAATTTCCACGTCATGAAAACAAAAAGAAACAGACAGATATCCTTTGATTACCCTCTTGCTTTCATCATCCCTACTTTCCGTCAGAAAATAAAACCCTAAGGGTGCGTTTGGTTTGCAGGAATGTTTCTGAGGGATTTGGATTCCTGAAGGGATTTGGATTTCATGGGATTTGGATTGGATTGGATTTAAAATCCATTCCTGTGTTTGGTTTGCAGGATTTGGATTTGATTTGAAATCCATTCCTCTGTTTGGTTTGTAGGATTTGGATTTACATTTTNGATTTGTATAACATTCAGATCTATCTATCCAATGACATTTTCGTCACTTAATAGATTTTTTTTATCTTTTACTCACTCAAAAAAAAAAAAAAAAAAACAAATGAAGCAAATTATAGTTTTTTTTGACCGGCGATAACTTAGCGATAATGTACTCGGGGTTTTGATCTCGGTTGAACTTATCTGAGCCCCGGAAAGCAAATTATAGTTGACTCTAAAATATGAGTAGCTATGGGCCAATGGCCCCATGCCCACTAAGTAAAGAAAAAAGTGGAAAGAGCCTGCATCATTATGCACATCACGTAAACTATATTATATATATCTATATCTATATCTATATATATATCTATATCTATATCTATATCTATACTATATATATATATAAGCATTTAGGTCTATACTATATATATAAGCATTTAGGTCATTATCTTAAATAAAAGTGGTTAAGCATAAGTTACAACCATTTTATGCAAGATTTTCAAAAAACTCTTAAAAACAAGTCACAAAGCATATGGTACAAATTATTGATGCATTTACTTTATGGTACAAATTAAAACCATTGCGCCATTTTTTGCACGAAATATTTACGTCAGTTTCCAGGCTATGATAGATTAGAGACTAAATTAATATCTATTTGCACATGGGAGGCAGCTGCTGCTTATTCATTATCCTTTAATATAATATAATAGAAATTAAGGGTAGTTTACCAAACGCTTACTTGGATAAGTGAACACTAAGTCACATTATTTTACCGGATGAATATGGTAAGCATCAAGAATCTTACCCGTTAAGAACGAGACAAAGACCAAGAGTCTTACCCGGTAAGCGAGGGCGACAACTCCTACCATGGTAAACGCTTATCGGATAAATTGTTGCATACGATACCGTTTTGGTGGACTAAAATCTTACCGGATAATTAAATAATAATGTTAAATTTCACCTGTAAACGCTTACCGGGTAAGTGTTTGGTAAACGGCCCCTAAATATCTACTCTCAACAAATGGAAGAAACACCTTATCCGGATCGAGGCTGTACATGCTTGTTTATGTATTGATACATGCATTTCTAGTTATTCTTCATGGAAATTATAGAAACCATCTTATCAGAGGATATTTGTATATATCTAGTTATTCTTCATGAAAATCATAGAAGCCACTTTATTACAGGTAGTCCGTATATGTCTAGTTATTCTTCATAGAAATCACAGAAACCACCTTATTACGGGGATTTATATACGTCTAGAATTTGTTTATGAAAATCATAGAAACCACATATGTTGACATATGTCAACATATAAATATTAACAAACGTTAAAATAACTTCAAAATAAAATATAGTACGAAGGTATCATCATTTTGATAGAAGATCCTTTGAAACTAATTTAATTTTAATGCAATGTATTAAATATTTAATTTTGAATATATTTTTAACAAAAGCATGAAAATTAGTACAAAAACGTATTCCTATAAAACACTACCTGACATGAATATGTTTTCGGGGTGATTTTTATCAATGCTTTCCACGTCATGAAAACAAAATATTTCATCTAAAATTGAATTTAAAAAGAATAAAGAAACAGACAGCTAACCTTTGTTCACACAAACTCACCTACCATCTTCCTTTCATCATCCCTGCTTTCCATCAGAAAATGAAACCCTAAGTAGCAGTTCTCTCTACCAGCTTACTTCCCTTGAAATCGAAGACCCAATTATAAAGAAACAATCTTTCCTTTTCCTTTCTCCTTTTTCCTTTACCAATGGCTGGTGCAGAAATCTTTCTCAGCGCATTCGTCACGGTGTTATTTGAGAAGTTGGCCTCTGCTGACTTAATAAGGTTTGCTCGATCCGAAGGAATCCATGTTCAGCTCAASAAATGGAACAACACCTTGTCCCAGATCCAAGCYGTGCTCGTTGATGCATCCCAGAAACACTTAGGAGACAGAGCTGTTCAACTATGGCTCAACAAACTTCAGCATTTGGCTTACGACATAGACGACTTCCTCGATGATTTGGCCACTGAAGCTATGCAGCGCCGGTTGAAAGAAGAATCTTATGCCAATACCAGCACTGCTAGTAAGGTATTGAAGGTGATTCCAAAAGTTTCCAACTTCTCTCCTCATGCTATTATGTATGGTCGTAAGATGAGTTCTAAACTCGATGASGTTACAACTAAATTRCGYGATCTTTTAGAGGAGAAAAATAGTCTGGGTTTGAATATTAATGTTGAAAGGTCAAATAGAGCAAGTAGACGATCGAAGGAAACTTCGTTGGTTGAGGTATCCAAAATTGTGGGTAGGGAAGGAGATAAARAGGCATTGCTCAGGAAGTTGACGTTGGAKAATGAATCATGCAGTGAAAATGTCAGTGTGGTGTCCATAGTGGGTCTGGGAGGGGTWGGTAAGACCACTCTTGCCCGAGTTTTGTACAACGAAAAGAAAGTGAAGGATCACTTTGAACTCATGGCATGGGTTTGTGTTTCCGATGAGTTTGATGTCCTTAATATTAGCAATACTATCTTTGAAGCTATAAGTGGAGAGGATAAAAGGTTTGAAGATCTAAATAAGCTTCAAGAGTCGCTTTCAGAAAAGCTTTCAAAGAAAAGGTTCCTACTTGTTCTAGACGATGTCTGGAACGAAGACTACACGGAGTGGGAACTCCTCCAACGCCCTTTCGTTGTAGGGGCACCCGGAAGTAAAATTGTTGTGACAACTCGGAAGACCACAGTTGCATCTGTGATGGACTCCGTTCAAGCTTACCCTATGAAGCTTTTATCAAATGAAGAAGCTCTATCTTTATTAGCTCAACATGCATTAGGCAAACAAAACTTCGATTCACATCCAACACTTAAATTCCATGGTGAAGGGATCATGAAGAAATGTGKTGGCTTGCCTTTGGCTTTGGTAACAGTTGGGAGGGTGTTAAGAAGAAAAACATCTGATGAAGAATGGGAGGAGGTGTTGAATAGCGAGATATGGAATTTACAATACAAAGATAAGATTCTTCCGGCTCTAAGATTAAGCTATTATGACCTTCCTCCATATTTGAAGCAGATGTTTGCATATTGCTGCTTATTTCCCAAGGACTACGTGTTTCACAAGGTTGAACTWGTCTTGTTGTGGATGGCAGAAGGGTTTTTGCAGGAGTCAAATGGCAGCAAGTCAATGGAGAATTTAGGTAGCGAGTGTTTTGAAGAGCTACAGTCAAGGTCGTTCTTTCAGCATGTTGGTAATCATAATTYATCACTATATACAATGCATGACATGATAAATGACTTGGCCACGAGTGTTGCTGGGGAGTTTTTCTTTGCTTTGGATGATAAGATRAATGCTTACGACAAGAATGAAGCTTTGGAGAAGTTCCGCCACCTTTCATTTGTTTGTCCAAAATATGGCGTCTACAGAAAGTTCAAAGCATTACAGAAAGCTAGACGCCTACGGACTTTCTTAGCTTTGCCCGTAAGGGTAGGCAGTTTGCACTTATCAAACAACGTTCTTTTCGAACTAGTTCCCCGACTACAATTCCTAAGGGTACTAAGCCTAGCTAAATATTCAATCACAAAGGTACCACAATCCATTGGTAGTCTGAAGCATATGCGGTACCTCAACTTTTCTGGTACTTGCATCACATGTTTACCGGAACAAGTCGGTAACCTTCATAATCTACAGAGCTTGTTGGTTTCTGATTGTGTAAGATTRTCAAGCTTGCCGGACAATATTGTGAAGCTAAAAGACCTRCGACATATCTACATCAACAATACTCCAAAGTTGAACAAGATGCCYTTTGGGATTGGAGAGTTGACGGGTCTACGGACTCTAAGCAAAGTCATTGTTGGAGAAGCTAATGGGTTCAATATATACAATCTTAAGGGCCTATTACATCTTCAAGGTAAACTTTCCATTCAGGGACTGCACACAGTGACAAATGCAATACATGCAAAAGATGCCGACTTACTGCAAAAGAAGGGCCTTGAGGAATTGGAGATGGAATGGGGTGATGTCTTTGATGATTCTCGGAATGAATCAATTGAATATGACGTACTCGAAAGGCTAAGACCTTATGATAAGTTGACGAGCCTCCTAATTTCGAACTACATGGGAAGGAAATTTCCTAGTTRGGTCGGGGATCCGTCCTTTGTTTACTTAACCGGGATTACACTACGTGGCTGTAGAAGTTGTACATCTCTACCRACACTTGGACATTTACGGTCACTTAAGTGGTTGTATGTTGAAAGCATGAGTGGGTTGAAGAGATTGGGTTTGGAGTTTCTTGGCACTAGTAATTCTCGCCATGGTATTGCATTTCCATCACTTAAAGTTTTGAAATTTATTAATATGCATGAGTGGGAGGTATGGTCTAGTAATGTTGGTGGCAAAGATGGAAATGGAACGGTTGGATCGTATCCTTGCCTCCGTGAGATTTGCATAATGGATTGCCCGAAATTAAATGCAGTGGAAATTGAGTTGATACCATCACTTGGGAGAGTAGATATACAAAGATGTTCTGTAGCTGTATTAAGAAGCATGGTTGTTGTGTCTCCATCAATTCTAAAATTGACAATGACGAGTATTAAAGGACTTACTCACCTACATGGAGATGTTTTAGMACATCTTGGGGCAGTTAAATATCTATTGATAAGAGGGTGTGATGAACTTAGATACTTGTGGGAATCAAAACCGGTGGTATGCGAGAATCTAAAGAGTTTACGAGATTTGCGAATAGAATCGTGTAAAAATCTGGTATCATTGGTAGATAAAGAGGCTAATTTGGGGATTAGCTGGAAATTTATCAGACAAGTGTGTATTACTGATTGTCSGAAACTCGTGAGTTACAATTGTCCAAATAGGGTGKWTAGATTGTTTATATCCCAATGTCATTTAATGACATCACTGACTTTCCCAACAGAGCATGACCTCCCATCCACTATGAAGACTCTTTCCATTAGGTCACCTCATACTTTGGATACAACTTGGCTTCTCAACAACTACTTGTCATCACTTAGATCTCTTTCCATTTTTGATATGCCGAATGTGAGGTCACTACCTGAAGGATGCTTACTTCATCTCACCAAGTTGCATATCGAAGGTTGTGAGAACATAGAATCCATTCCTGAGAAAGGTTTTGGTTTCCTTCCCCTTGTTTGCCTAAGAGATCTCCATATCAATAGATGCAAGAATCTGAAGTCATTTCCTCAYGAGCATTTGGAAAGTCTCACATCTTTGCACGTGTGGTGTGTAGCACATTGTCCAAGTATGGACTACTTTCCATGTGGTTTGTGGCCTCCTAATTTACGTGCATTATATATAGGAGGGTTAAAGAAGCCCATGTCAGARTGGGGGCTGCAAAATTTCCCAACCTCACTTGTTTCACTTCTTTTATTTGGCYTAAATTCAGGAGTGGTTTCGTTATCTCTACTTGTTCCACCATCTTTAACTTATCTAGGTGTTTGTTGTTTTATGGAGTTGGAATCAGTTTCCAAGGGCCTACAACACCTCACCTGCCTGGAACGCCTCTCATTCAASTCATGCCCCAAGCTTAAAGATTTGCCTGCAGAGACTATGCTTCTTTTACTTTCAAGTTTGTACGTCGAWGATTGCCCGAAACTGGAAAAAAAGTGTGATAGTAAAAAAGGCAAGTATTGGCCCATCATCTCCCAAATTCCTCACCTTCATGTAGGTCCATCACAGGTATGTCCTTCATCTTGTACTTTGTCTTTTCTTGAACTTATGCATTATTCTAAACAAGCTTTTRATCTGTGTTTTTTTCACTATTATTCGATACTTGTTGTAAAATAGTACTCCATTCGTCCCAAAATAACTTGCCACAACTTTATTTTAGTTTGTCCCAAAATAACTTCTTACAACTTTATTTTAGTTTGTCCCAAAATAACTTGTCACGGTTCTATTTTAGTTTGTCCCGAAATAACTATCCACTTTCGTAAATCATATACAGTCAATTTATGAAGTMCTTGATAACASTACATCCTTTTCGGCCCTCATGCAATTAAGACAATATGGAGAGACAACAAGCGTATTATTATTATTATTACAAAATGCCATACGTGTTYATTTTGGTCCTTTGRTTTAAATTTATGATTTCGTCAATGTTGTAGSRGCTGGGTTGAGAGCTTTCAAGAACCCGTGGAGAAAAGAAAGACTCGTTTCAAGTGTTACTTAACAGGATTGTTAGTTCAGACTTCCTTCTTGGTGTTCATCATACGCGACTACCCATCGGACGAAAAGCAATCCAGAGTCTTGTTCTTTTATCGTTAAATGTTTGTACAGGTGATATTTTAACCAAGTGTTGTGCCTTGGTTGATATTTTGTTGATTGTATGTAGATCTTTTTCTACCTTTTTATAGGCCTTTAATTCCTATGTGCATTATATATAAGCAAATGCAAATGCAAATGCAAATGCTTTAATTAATCTCTTATCTAAACTAATATAGTTGTGATGTGTGTCTGTTAGATTAGTGGTTGGTGGCCTGGTATATTCTTGATAGATGACGACGGTATAAATTAGTGTGTAGTACATAGTCTTTTCATTTTAAGTTAACAATTACAGGTTCTCTTAACGCTATCTATCTGTTATAACGAATACTACCAATTAATGAACTTYGGAATATAGAGATTGATGGGTTAAAACAATGAAAGAAGTGAATGAGCTTGTTGGTTTAYCAAACGGTAATAAAGCCCTACAGGTGTTTAAGCTCACAAATGATGGTGACAAGAGATTATGTTACGGTAAATTGAGTCTTATAAATTTGTGTATATTTGGCCAATTAAGGCTATAAGAGAACCACTAACGAATCCATGTGTGCTTTGGTAGTTTATCCCCAATCTTCCTGCCCAAGTTACATCATCGCCCAAACGACCCAAACACAACGAGAGAGCTCACAAAAACGCAACAACAAGAAGTCGAAAGTTGATACCGCAATCAAAGAAACCAAAAATCAATCCTCGTAGCAACTTAGCTATGAAGGGGTAAGGATAAATGAGTACCATTAACTTGACTAGAATCGACATCCTTCAATTCCTATATGTTTATCATGAAAAAGATCCAAAATTATCAAATATTTACATGACGTTGAGATGTGTTGATTTATACATGGTCTTAGGGGTCGTTTATCAAATACTTACTTGGGTAAGTGAACATCGTCACATTATCTTATCGAATGAATATGGTATGAACCAAAAATCTTACCCGGTAAGAGCGAGACAAGTACCAAGAGTCTTATCCTGTAAGTGAGAGTGACGACTTTTACCATAGTAAGCGCTTACCAGGTAAATTGTTGTATAAGATATCATTTTGGTGGATTAAAATTTTACCCCGTAAGTAAATTATAGTGTTAAATTTTACCGGGTAAGTGTTTGGTAAACGACCCCTTATTCTATATCGTCCTTCTTTTTGCTTCCAAGAATTTGAGGACATAAAGATGAAAAGAAAATGTTCGACAAGCATATGTTGTAGGAGGTCAGAGATGTCGAGAGGATTAGACTATGTTTAACGGTGATCCCATGGTTGGGATCGTGAATAGGACAAAATGGGGTTTAAAAAAAAAAGAAAAAGAAAAAACAATTAAAATGTCCAATCCCAATAGATCTAGATCATCGTCTGAACCGAGATTGTAGTTTTTCCATCCCATATCATCTACCAGGTGATACATTACCATTGGTCAATGTTATATTCTTTTTATAAAACTTATCTCATAAAAGAATGACTTTAATTAACAAAAAAATTTAAAAAATGTACCAAAATTAATCTCTTGTCACCATCATTCGTGAGCTTAAACACCTGTAGAGCTTTATTACTGTTCATTAAACCAACAAGCTCATGCTCATGCACTTCTTTCATTGTTTTAACCCCATCAATCTCTATTTCCCAAAGTTCATTAGTTGGTTGTATTTGTTATAACAGAACCTGTAAGTTGTTAATTGAAAATGAAAAGACTTTGTATGCACGAACTTATACCGTCGTCATCTATCAAGAACATACCACCAACCACTAATCTAACAGACACACATCACAACTAGGGGTGTTCAAAAACCCGACCAACCTGATCAGTCCAACCCAACCCAACGCGAAATAACTCAACCCGAAGTAACCCGATGTCTAATCGAGTTGTAAAATTATCAAACCGTAGGTATTGGGTTGATATTGGTTTACTATTATTTGAACCCAACCCAACCCAACCTGATTAACCCGATATCTTTTTATTTCTTGGATTTAATATGATTGTTGAATTTCTATTAATATATACATTAGACAATTACATTATTATGTATGTTTTTCATATACACATATTTTCAATCTATTCACATCTCTAAATAACTCATTCATATATATGTTCAGTAACTGTGAACATATTATATATATATATATATATATATCGAGAAAATTAACTGAATGTGATATACGTAAGAAATATAGATAAGTTGTATCAAATGGTTGATGAAAAAAAATTATGAATAGAAAAATAACATATTCAATGTTAATAGAATATTTTAATATACCAAATTATCAACCCGACCAACCCGTATGGGTTGGGTTGGGTTGCACTTTGGTTTGGGTTGGGTTAAGATTTTTCCAAACCGCAAGCATTGTGTTGGGTTGATCAAAATGTCTTCAACCCGATCAACCCAATCCATGAGCACCCCTCCCTAATCACAACTATATTAGTTTTGATAAGAGATTAATTAAAGCATTTGCATTTGCATTTGCTTATATATAATGCACATAAGGGCCTATAAAAGGGTACAAAAAGATCTACATGTGATCTGTCAAAAAACTGGTTATCCAACTTTATTTACTTACGAACGAAGACACAACATTTAGTTAAAATATCACATGTACAAACATTTAACGATAAAAAGAACAAGAATAAATTAAGTCCCTACAGCTACAAGTTGGTCAACTTAAACCCCCAAAAGATGCCCAAAATCATATACTGAGACTACATAATGGTGGAAATGTCTTGAATTGATAAGTTTGGACCCTTTTGATTGCTACTCCAAAAATTCTGGAATACTTCTCTCAAGACTCTGGAATGCTTTTCATCCGATGGGTAGTAGACATATGATGAACACCAAGAAGGAAGTCTGAACTAACAATCCTGTTAAGTAACACTTAAAACGAGTCTTTCTTTTCTCCACGGGTTCTTGAAAGCTCTCAACCCAGCCCCTACAACGTTGACGAAATCATAAACTTAAACCAAAGGACCAAAATGAACACGTATGACATTTTTGTTATAATAATAATAATACGCTTGTTGTCTCGAGATCTTGTCTTAATTACATGAGAGCCGAAAAGGATGTAGTGTTATCAAGTACTTCATAAATTGACTGTATATAATTTACTACGAAATCGCTACAAGCAACCTATTTCATACCCTTTTCACAAGCAACCTATTTCATACCCTTTTCACAAGCAACCTATTTCATACCCTTTTCACAAGCAACCTATTTCATACCCTTTTCACAAGCAACCAATTTCAAGCCAATTCATTTGGGACCCTCCAGATCCACTCTTTTTCCTATTCAAAGCTCAGCCCTTTGTCTCTGTGTTTTCACATCGAGAATTATCTGTCAGATGAAGAGATGTCAAAGGGGCTTTTTACTCACCCAAAAATTCCTCCTAGATCTCTATCATCTTTATATAAACGTTGGCTTAGCAAGAAGGTGCAAGAAAAGATTTCGAATTGTTGATTAATCGCACCGCATAAAAACATTCCTCCTATAGTAGCTATTAATACGAATAAGAGAAACTTGTAGCCATTTCGGTACATTCAATATACTCTACGGATAGAGGATTACATAGAGTTGAACACAGTAAAGCAAGAAATTGAAAGATTTCGTTTGACTGTTAGATAATCAATTAAATGTTCAAGTTCAACTACAAGCAAAATAAAGAAATTACAGAACCACTCACTTGGTCCCAAAAAAAATATCCATGTTGAAAAAAAAACACAAATAGTTTTAGAAATATGCAATTATTACGTGTTCTAATTAACTTAAAGGCCAACTTTACCCTTAATAATAAATATAAATTTGACACTTGCTTTTGAAAGTGGATAGTTATTTCGGGACAAACTAAAATAGAACCGTGACAAGTTATTTTGGGACAAACTAAAATAAAGTTGTAAGAAGTTATTTTGGGACAAACTAAAATAAAGTCGTGGCAAGTTATTTTGGGACGAATGGAGTACTATTTTACAACGAGTACGGAATAATAGTGAAAACAACACAGATCAAAAGCTTGTTTAAATTAATGCACAAGTTAAAAAAAAAAGACAAAGTACAAGATGAAGGACATACCTGTGATCGACCTACATGAAGGTAAGGGATTTGGGAGATGATGGGCCAATACTTGCCTTTTTTACTATCACACCTTTTTTCCAGTTTCGGGCAATTATCGACGTGCAAACTTGAAAGTAAAAGAAGTATAGTCTCTGCAGGCAAATCTTTGAGCTTGGGGCATGACTTGAATGAGAGTTGTTGGAGGCAGGTGAGGTGTTGTAGGCCCTTGGAAACTGATTCCAACTCCATAAAACAACCAACACCTAGATGAGTTAACGATGGTGGAACAAATAGAGAAAATGAAACCACTCCTGAATTTTGGCCATATAAAAGAAGTGAAACAAGTGAGGTTGGGAAATTTTGCAGCCCCCACTCTGACATAGGCTTCTTTAACCCTCCTATAAGTAATGTACTTAAATGAGGAGGCCACAAACCACAAGGAAAGTAGTAGTCCATACTTGGACAATCTTGTACATCCAACATTCGCAAAGATGTGAGTCTTTCCAAATGCTTATGAGGAAATGACTTCAGATTCTTGCATCTATTGATATGGAGATCTCTTAGGCAAACAAGGGGAAGGAAACCAAAACCTGTCTCAGGAATGGATTATATGTTCTCACAACCTTCGATACGCAAGTTGGTGAGATGAAGTAAGCATCCTTCAGGTAACGACCTCACATTCGACAAACCATTGATGGCAAGAGATCCAAGTGATGACAAGTAGTTGATGAGATGCCAACTCATCTCCAAAGTATGGCACGCCCTAATGCCAAGATGCTTTAGAGTGGATGGGAGGTTCTGCTCTGTTGGGAAATTCAGTGATGTCATTAAATCACATTGGGATATAAACAATCTCTCCACCCTATTTGGACAATTGTAACTCACGAGTTTCGGACAGTCAGAAATAAACACTTGTATGATAAATTTCGAGCTAATCCCCAAATTAGCCTCTTTATCTACCAATGATACCAAATTTTTACACGATTCTACTCGCAAATCTCGTAAACTCTTTAGATTCTCGCATGCCTCCGGTTTTGATTCCCACAAGTATCTAAGTTCATCACACCCTCTAATCAATAGATTTTTAACTGCCCCAAGATGTTCTAAAACATCTCCACGTAGGTAAGTAAGTCCTTTAATACTCGTCATTGTCAAAGTTAGAATTGATGGAGACACAACAACCATGCTTCTTATCACAGCTACAGAACATCTTTGTATATCTAAAAGCCCAAGTGATGGTATCAACTCAATTTCCACTGCATTTAATTTCGGGCAATCTATTATATAAATCTCACGAAGGCAAGGATACGATCCAACTGTTCCATCTTTGTCACCATCATTACTAGACCATACCTCCCACTCCTGCATATCCATAAATTTCAAAACTTCTAGTGATGGAAATGCAATACCATGGCAAGAATTACTAGTGCCAAGAAACTCCCAACTTAATCTCTTTAACCCACTCATGCTTATAACAAACAACCACTTAAGTGACCGTAAATGTCCAAGTGTCGGTAGACATGTACAACTTCTACAGCCATGTAGTGTAAGCCCGGTTAAGTAAACAAAGGAGGGATCCCCGATCCAACTAGGAAATTTCATTCCCATGTAGTTCGAAATTACGAGGCTTGTCAACTTATCATAAGGTCTTAGCCCTTCGAGTACGTCATATTCAATTGATTCATTTCGAGAATCATCAAAGACATCACCCCATTCCATCTCCAATTCAACAAGACCCTTCTTTTGTAATAAGTCGGCATCTTTAGCGTGTATTGCATTTATCACCTTGTGCAGCCCTTGAATGAAAAGTGTACCTTGAAGATGCACTAAGCCCTTAAGATCGGATATTTTGAACCCATTAGCTTCTCCAACAATGACTTTGGATAGAGTTCGTAGACCCGTCAACCCTCCAATCCCTAAGGGCATCTTGTTCAACTTTGGAGTATTATCGATGTAGATATGTCGTAGGTTTTTTAGCTTCACAATACTGTCCGGCAAGCTTGATAATCTAACACAACCAGAAACCATCAAGCTCTGTAGATTATGAAGGTCACCGACTTGTTCCGGTAAACATGTGATCCAAGTACCAGAAAAGTTGAGGTACCGCATATGCTTCAGACTACCAATGGATTGTGGTACCTCTGTGATTGAATATTTAGCCAGGCTTAGTACCCTTAGGAATTGTAGTTGTGGAACTAGTTCGAAAAGAACTTTGTTTGATAAGTGGAAACTGTCTACCCTTACGGACAAAGCTAAGAAAGTCCGTAGGCGTCTAGCTCTTTGTAATGCTTTGAACTTTCTGTAGACGCCATATTTTTGACAAACAAATGAAAAGTGGTGGAACTTCTCCAAAGCTTCATTCTTGTCGTAAACATTCATCTTATCATCCAAAGCAAAGAAAAACTCCCCAGCAACACTCGTGGCCAAGTCATTTATCAAGTCATGCATTGTATATAGTGATGAATTATCATTACTTAAATGCTGAAAGAACGACCTTGACTGTAGCTCTTCAAAACACTCGCGACCTAAATTCTCCATTGACTTGCTACCATTTGACTCCTGCAAAAACCCTTCTGCCATCCACAACAAGACTAGTTCATCCTTCTCAAACACATAGTCCTTGGGAAATAAGCAGCAATATGCAAACATCTGCTTCAAATATGGAGGAAGGTCATAATAGCTTAATCTTAGGGCCGGAAGAATCTTATCTTCATATTGTAAATTCCATATCTCACTATTCAACAGCTCCTCCCATTCTTCATCATATGCTTTTCTTCTTAACACCCTCCCAACTGTTATCAAAGCCAAAGGCAAGCCACCACATTTCTTCATGATCCCTTCACCATGGAATTTAAGTGTTGGATGTGAATCGAAGTTTTGTTTGCCTAATGCATGTTGAGCCAATAAAGATAGAGCTTCGTCATTTGACAAAAGCTTCATAGGGTAAGCTTGAACGGAGTCCATCACAGATGCAACTGTGGTCTTCCGAGTTGTCACAAGAATTTTACTTCCGGGTGCCCCTACAACGAAAGGGCGTTGGAGGAGTTCCCACTCCKTGTAGTCTTCGTTCCAGACATCGTCTAGAACAAGTAGGAACCTTTTCTTTGAAAGCTTTTCTGAAAGYGACTCTTGAAGCTTATTTAGATCTTCAAACCTTTTATCCTCTCCACTTACAGCTTCTAAGATAGTATTGCTAATATTAAGGACATCAAACTCATCGGAAACACAAACCCATGCCATGAGTTCAAAGTGATCCTTCACTTTCTTTTCGTTGTACAAAACTCGGGCAAGAGTGGTCTTACCTACCCCTCCCAGACCCACTATGGACACCACACTGACATTTTCACTGCATGATTCATTMTCCAACGTCAACTTCCYGAGCAATGCCTCTTTATCTCCTTCCCTACCCACAATTTTGGATACCTCAACCAACGAAGTTTCCTTCGATCGTCTACTTGCTCTATTTGACCTTTCAACATTAATATTCAAACCCAGACTATTTTTCTCCTCTAAAAGATCRCGYAATTTAGTTGTAACSTCATCGAGTTTAGAACTCATCTTACGACCATACATAATAGCATGAGGAGAGAAGTTGGAAACTTTTGGAATCACCTTCAATACCTTACTAGCAGTGCTGGTATTGGCATAAGATTCTTCTTTCAACCGGCGCTGCATAGCTTCGGTGGCCAAATCATCGAGGAAGTCGTCTATGTCGTAAGCCAAATGCTGGAGTTTGTTGAGCCATAATTGAACAGCTCTGTCTCCTAAGTGTTTCTGGGATGCATCAACGAGCACAGCTTGGATCTGGGACAAGGTGTTGTTCCATTTCTTGAGCTGAACATGGATTCCTTCGGATCGAGCAAACCTTATTAAGTCAGCAGAGGCCAACTTCTCAAATAACACCGTGACGAATGCGCTGAGAAAGATTTCTGCACCAGCCATTGGTAAAGGAAAAAGGAGAAAAGAAAAGGAAAGACTGTTTCTTTCTAATTGGGTCTTCGATTTCAAGGGAAGTAAGCTGGTAGAGATGAAGAAAGATTGTCTGTTACTTTTAGGGTTTTATTTTCTGATTGAAAGTAGGGATGATGAAAGGAAGAGGGTAGGTGAGAATGCAGTCTCTATCACATCAAAGGATATCTGTCTGTTTCTTTTTGTTTTCATGACGTGGAAATTATTCATCTCAAGCAATAAAAATCACCCCCAAAACATATTCATGTCACGTAGTGTTTTATAGGAATACGTTTTTATACTAATTTTCATGTTTTTGTTAAAAATAAATTCAAAATTAAATATTTGATACATTGCATTAACTGATTTCACAATGAAAATAGAAGAAAATTAAATTAGTTTTAAAGTATCTTTTATCAAAATGAACCTACGTACTATATTTTATTTTGAAGTTATTTTAACATCTGTTAATGATGATACGTACGTATTATATTTTATTTTGAAGTTATTTTAACATCTGTTAATATTTATATGTTGACGTATGCCAACATATCTGATAATGTTAACTTATATGAGCCTCTCTTAATAAGGTGGTTTCTATGATTTCCATAAAGAATAACTAGACATATACGAATCTCAGGTGGTTTCTATGATTTTCATGAAGAATAAATAGATATAGACGAACCTTCTGTAATAAGGTGGTTTCTATGATTTATATGAAGAATAACTAGACATGCATGTATCAAAACATAAACAAGCATGTACAGCCTGGACATGGACAAGGTGTTTCTTCCATTTGTTGAGAGTGGATATTTAGTCTCTTATCGCATTAAAGGATAATGAATAAGCAACAACGGCCTCCCATGTGCAAATAGATATTTAGGGGTCTACTAAACGCTTACTTGGTTAGTGTTTATCGAACAATTTTTCTCATTGAATGAACATGGCAAGGGTCAATAATCTTACCTGATAAGAGCGATGATAAGGATGGAGAGTCTTACCCGGTAAGTGAGGGTGATGACTCTTACCCGGATAAATTTGCGTATGATACCTTTTTGATGTATTACAATCTTATTCGATAAAAATAAATTATAATGTTGATTCTTACTCGTAAGCGTTTACTAAGTAAGCATTTGGATAAACGGCCCCTTAGAGGCTGTTTGGTTCGCAGAATTCAAAAAAATTTGATGGAATTTGATTGACAAATTCCTTTGACCAATCAATTCATTTTTTGAAATTGATGGAATCTTTCAAATTCCATTGAATTCCACAATGGAAAGAATTGGATTTCATCACCATCCATCACGACCATGTTACTATTGTTCGTCATGTCCTACACCTAACCCCCGCCCCACCTTACCCTACTCCAACCCACCACTAACCATTAGGCTTAACCCGATCCTTAATCATCCTCCCTTAAAACTCCAAACCCTTTTCAAATTTCTCATACTTGACAAAACTATGAATCATAATATTGTATATGGCTACATCAGGTTTCCCATCAATTAGTTTACGCATATTATCAAACGCATGGAGTGCATCATCAAACCTACCGACGTTACAGAAGGAATTAATAGCGAAACGGAAGATGGGTTCAGTACGAGAGCAAGAAAATATACCGTCGGAGCAAGGGCACGGATTAGAGACGATGAAATCAAGGACGGATGCGAGGGAGTCGAGGCGGTTAGTGATGGCAAGTGTACGGACCATCCATTCATAGGTGGAGTGGTCGTGGCGAAGGAGTCGAGTGTGGCGGCGTGGCGGAAGACGTGGAGGTCAAGGTGAGCGAACTTGGAATGGTGGTGGAGGTGGTTTTATAGGAAGGAAAGGAGGTCGTTAGGGGTGAGGTTGCTTTTGAGGTGAGAGTTGATGAAATTGGTGAGTTGGGATAGAGTGGTTGAAGTAGAGGAGGGTAGGGAAAGGGTTGTGAGAACAGTGAGTGATGTATCCGGTGGTGGCGGTGGGGGGAAGAGGTTGGTGGTAGTTAACGACGGAGGAGGACGGCAGAGTGGTGGTGGTCTTGGGAGAGGCCATTTCTTCCCAAGTGAATCGATTAAACCAGGTGCCTTGGTGTTGGTGGTGGTTCATAACTTTGTTTTATTTTTATTTTAATTTTAATAGTTTGAATAAAATTATATATTTGGAAAGTCTACAAAAAATACATCGAATAATCTTTTAAACAATTTAATCATTAAATTTTCAAATGGGCTGTTTATCAAACACTTAGGGGTCGTTTTAGTTACACGAATTTAAATATGAAGATTTGATAAGTTGTACTTATGAATAATTTACTTGTAATCTTGAATTTTAAGTAATATGCATCAATATATAGTACTTCATGCATAAAAAATGATTTTTAAGAGTTTTTGTCAAATATTTTATAATATAGTATAGATATTATTAAACCAAATATAAATTGTTTCGTTGTTGAACCTAGCTAAACTAATCATAATAAAAAAAATTGAATTTAAAAATTATACAAAAAATATGAATTTTAAATAGTTAATTTGATATTAATATCGATATATTTTTGTCAATTTTTTATGATATCTTCAAATTTATATTTTCTTCAAAAATAAAAACATCATGGTTTTTTCAAAATCACATAAGATCATACTATAACATCGACTGAGATGAAAAATAAAATCAAATATTAAAATCAAGATGTATCTCGCTGCATTGCACGAGTATCCTTCTAGTTTTAATTTTAATAATTTGAATAAAATTATATATTTGGAAAGTCTAGAAAAAATACATCGGATACCATATTCAGCCGATGAGGTAATGTTACTTGATAAATGCTTACCCGAGTAAGCGTTTGTTAAACTAAGTGTTTGATAAACGGCCCCTTAGAAAATTTAATGATTAAATTGTTTAAAAGATTATCCGATGTATTTTTTCTAGACTTTCCAAATATATAATTTTATTCAAACTATTAAAATTAAAACTAGAAGGATACTCGTGTAATGCAGCGAGATACATCTTGATTTTAATATTTTATTTTATTTTTTTATCGTAGTCGATGTTATAGTATGATCTTATGTGATTTTGAAAAAACCATGATGTTTTTATTTTTGAATAAAATATAAATTTGAAGATATCATTAAAAAATTGACAAAAATATATCGATATTAATATCGAATTAACTATTTAAAATTCATATTTTTTGTATAATTTTTAAATTCAATATTTTTATTATGATTTAGTTTAGGTTCAACAACGAAACAATTTATATTTGGTTTAATAATATCTATACTATATTATAAAATATTTGACAAAAACTCTTAAAAATCATTTTTTATGCATGAAGTA